CAGAGGCAGAGAACAAAAGTTCGAAAGAGAAGATCAAGGTGCTACAGTCTAATATAAACTCTTTGAACGAGGAGCTTTCAGAGGCAAGAGACTAATCCTCTCTCTTTCTCTGTTTCTCTGTTTCCAGTCTTTCTCCTTTCTAACTTTTGCTTAATCTTATGCAAATTAAAGACTAAAGCTCGAGCCAAAAAATTAGAGACGAATTTGAGTGAGCAATCCAAAATCATGAATATGCTGAAAATGGCAAATGAAGCACTGGAACCTGGGATGCAACAGCTGCAACATGATTTTCTCGATCAGGATGTTCAGGTACGCAAACGCCGTATAGGAGTTTTGATTAACCATGGTATATTGGTATTCATGCCTACTAAAGCTTTTTACTTTATCAATTTAGCTAGTAGAGGAAAACATATACCATATAATGACTATCATTCTTGATGTAGATACCCTTCAAACAATTAAGTTCACACACACACATACAAATGATGTTATGAACTATATAATCTCTCCTTGATTCTCTTCGACTAATAAAGTTACCTTTTCTTGTTTATTTCACAGGCATCCAAGATATAGTGAACTAATCAAACCACTTAATTTTACTTGGCAAACTAAACTTCAAGTGTCAAAATTTCTTTTTCGATACTTTAAATGCATTGGCTCTGTAATGGAACCAGAGTTGAGTGCACCTTTCTCATATAATTATCATACAAACCCAAACTCACAAATTTTTTCCTTTTTAAGGAAATAGCTATCGTCAAATTACAAGGTTATTATTTTCTGTCAATAGCTTCATATCATTTATTGACACTTTGTCTTGATTTGTCATCTCCTTCAACGGTGAAGTTTGCTTCCCAAGCGATGGTTCTTTCAATGATGGACTTCTAATTTCTATCATGTCCAAGCCCATACCCCTGTTTTAACTATTTCTTTGTAGCTGCTTGCTGCTGGTTTTGATTACTGACTGCCTACAATATTTCTTTGTTATTGGCCTTGTTTTGGCTTATACATAACATCATACAATTCTGTTATATTGTTTAATAAACGCTCTTTTACCTTTCAAGAAAAGATTATACTCTGATTAATTTCATTTTTTCAGTGCAGGAGAGCTTGTTCATATGGCTAATACTCTGCTTACTGAAAAAGTGACAACATCTGATCTGGACTGTTAACAAATTAGTGCTACCATGTAGATCATGCCCCCTTCTTTTCCCACTAGTCCTGACAGTTAACCATTACTTCTCCTGACTTCTTACTACTATAGTCAGCCTTCTATTACCACCTTCTCCTGGTCTTCTAGTACTAGATCTGCCAGCCTTTTGTTGTTGAACTTTCCTAGTAATCCACTCTATCACCTGAAATTCAACCTCCTAAATTTCTTTTGCCTTTTTCATCTCATAAATACTTGCCATGGAGCTTAGGTAGGATTCTCCTGTTCTCCTTGTTACCTAATCCTCATTTTATATGCTTAAGGCTCTTAAAGTATTCCTGGGAGTTTAAAAATCCTCCAATACGTTTGTTTAATGACCTTAGAAAATTTATCACTGGATAACGATATTTATATAGATAGGTATGAGATACACTTAAAATCATGTTGATACACCTTTTCTCCCAAAATAGAAAACACAAAACTATTGCAGACTGTAGCAAGCACCTGGTATGCAGGTAAAGGAAACTCGACTGAAAAACCCAATGGTAATGGCGTCCATGCTGAAAAAAATTAATTCCAAGTTTGTAAAACAACTCAATTCTAAAGGACAAAAGATCAAAACATTAAATGAAATCCTATCAATTATCACTTGAAGCCTTCAATGTTAAATCACCTGCCCAATTGGAGTGGTAGAGAAGGCCAATTCATAATCCATATGTGCTGTTATTACTAGTCAAAGGGTAGTACCTTATATTGAAGCCTATAAATTGATTAAGTGGGAAAAGTAGAACATCCTATATTCCAACACATTGTATGCTTTATCCTAAACGAGCATAGGATTACTATCCTACTTTCAACCTACCGTTTCATTACCTAATCCTTTGTCAACACACTATTACTCTGAAGCTAGTCCACACATGCACTTGACTCTTCAAATAACACATACTGTTGCCTTTCAACAGATTAACACCTTTGAGGAACAACGCATAACTCATTAGCTATGTATCTAGCCTAAAATATCCAACATCATAGCGTTAAATATTTATATACCACACAGTCTTTGATAAAAATGATAGTTGCCTCCATCATCATATATAGTTGCAAGAATAATAGCATGTAATTCTTCCTCCTTTGGAGTTCTGAAATTGATGGTATGTACTACTGCAATTGATGATTCTCCTAATTTGCAGGACCACCACGTGAGGAACTTGGAATCCAATAATATAGCAACTGATTATGAGTTGGTATGTTAGTTCTGTTTCATTACTTTGTGCACTAATTCATGTGTTAGTGGATGGTGATGTGATTCTTTTTCAAATTATTGTTTTAGTTCAAAAATTTGGAGAACTTGGAAGACTTCACCAATTATCCAGATCCATTGTGGAGTCAGACCATAGGTATGTGCTACCGGAAGAATTTGTGAATTAATTAACTAAAGATTCCTTTGATTTGAAATATCAAAGACTCATTTCTAGATAGTCAAGTGAGACGCCTTCTTATACAAAGCTTTTTTTATATATATATATTTATTTTAAACATTTTGGTAATAGGAATAATATATAAACCATTAGAAGTAATAATATAACAATTCTATTGATTATTTACTTAAATCTACAATTTATGCATAAATTCTATTTATTTGAATGGTAGTCATGTGTGTATTAGATAATATTGGTGAGGATCTGAACCCTATCATTAGACATTTGAGATTTCTAATCATAATAAGATGTTTTTGCTAATGTTTTCAAGCATATGTAACTGTTATTTTGGTATTACTTTTAATAGTATGTTGAAAATAATTATGGGCAATATGAACCTTTTTTGACAGGATAATTATTTTTTGTATTTACTTTTGTAACCATAATATTTCACCGTATGGCTTCTGTCTGATGTTAACCTAACTTAGAGGTTGTTGGGAATCATGAAGGTTGTTCGTTTGGCTTGGGGACTAGCATTGCTGAAACCAAGCTATCACCATTGAATGAGACCGTGAATGTCGAGGGCTTTAGGGTACTAAAGGAAAATTCCCCCATGATCCAACAGATATTCAGAGAGTACCCTAACATTGCATCAGGCCTTCGAGTTCACTACCTAGCATCAAGAAATGGCTTCATGAACACATTGGCTGAGGTTTTCAAAATGGCAACCATGGAACGAGAGAAGTGCAACCTGGAGGATGTCAAGCTTATGGAGAATGGTATCAAGGATTTGGAGTTTGCTGGTCTAGATATTCCATGGCTTAAGGACTTGGTGGCTGAGAGTCGGGAAAAGGTTGAAGTTAAGGAAGAAATCAAAAGCACTAAAGCCAAGCTAAAGCTTCTAGAAGAGAGGGAAAGCAAGCTCGATTCCAAAAGACAAAGGGTCTCTTCACCTTGATTTGTATGTTTTGGTACCTTTTATATTGCACGGCCTATTTTTCTTTGCTCTTCTCTTGTCTTTATATTCCAAATAACGGTATTTGTGTTGGAAGATTGTAATAGGGATTTTTGTTAGGCTAAGTAGGGTGAACATCATTACCTCATTCCGCTACTTTTCTCTTCTCGAGAACAAGAGGCAAATAACCTTTTTCTTCTATTGAATTGTTTATTGATTGAGTCCAAAAAGAAAGCCTTGAGATAGCCACAACTGTCTGTCTTCTCCCCATGGTCCCTCGTAAGCCCTTTAATCTTTTCTTCATTTCACCATCCTCTGTCACCTTTCTCACAGCTTCTTCAACATCTTTTTGTTCAAATCCATTGATCCTCACTCCAATTTTCCCAACCTTAACAATGTATGCTTTTGGCGTTGTATGGCTTCCATGGTAGAATTCCACTTCCACCCACAGTGTGTGAGGTATTACCCCACCGCCTTGAGTTGCAGCACCCGCTGTTACTAGCCATATTTCTTGATGAACTCGTTTAAATTCCCTTCCTTTCCCTTCCCTTTTTTCCTATTCCCTTTCAATCTAAATAAAGTCTTAAACATTAGCATGGCATTCATTAAATAGAAAGAAAGTACCCTTTCTATTATGAAACTCAATATCAATTATCAAATGCCCTGTCTGCTGTAGTTGTATATGTAATAAATCATGTCTGGGCCTTTCCAAGTGATTAATATGAGGATGTATACCAATACTATCCGTATTAACTCTTCAAACTGAAACTTGTAAGTCGTAGTTAAGTTATATGAGTATCGATTTTAAGAGACTGAATCTTTCAGTACAAATAAAAATAATTACTTTCCAAGTAGTAGGGAAAGTAAAATTACCACCTCCTCATGGGGATGGGATTCTGCATAAGTGAAGGGAAACTGATACCATGGTAATCTAAACATTACTAAAATTTGCCGCACCAAACATGGTAATGACATTCCTTCCAATTAAATTTCCCAAAATGTTGCCCGCATTGGTGACGGGAATCCTACTTTCAAATTTTCAAAAGGAAATTACAGCTCAATGCAACATCATTTATAATAGTTAATAGTTAGGGTTTTCTTAAAAATAATTTGGATTGAGTGTAGGAGGTTAACTTTACCTGCAAACATATTTAAGCTGTTAGGACCAAATTACCCTTTGAGAATTCCTGTACCTTGTATTTAATTTAATTTAAATGACTTGTGTGTTCAATTATAATAATATGTACATTTTATTAGAGTAATATGTATTTTATATTATAATGATTAAAACATCTATCAACTTTTTTTCATGAATCTTATACATCAAGATATAAAAAAATTAATAACTAAGGTGATGTTTGATAAATTGAAAAAAAATTCAACAATGGAAAATTAAATATCAAAATTTTAATTCTAAAACTTTTAAGTACTGAATTTATATGATACAAAATTTATCTTGTATATTATTGAAATTAAATTTGTTGAGTAGAGGTCAAATATTTTGTTAAGGATAAATATAATTTTATAAGTATTTTGCAATGGTAATAGTTAAAAAAGAAAGAATAAATGGTTAAAAGAAAAGAATATAAGATTAATGTAATTAAATAACAATATTTTTTCTAAATAAATTGACTTAATACATTAAGTAGCTGGTCGTTACTTAAGATTTTTGACACTTTTTTATTAAACATTTTTCATTAAGTTGTTTTCAAAATTGGACTATCAAACTCATCAAAAAATTAAATTATTAAAATTTTCAATTTTCAATGGTTCATCAAATACACCCTATATGACATATGCATTCTATTATAGTCATATGCATAATTTATTATTATAATATATACATTACTACATTATAATGATAAAACCATTTACAAAATAAGTTTTATCTATCATGTGAAGAATAATTAATAGTATAATTATATAATCATTGTTTCAATGTCTGTGTAATCAATGTGATGGCGAGACAGAGCAACTCATTTCTATGGAACTTTTTTAAAAATATTAATTTCTCTATGAAAATGAAAATGTACTTTTAAAAAATATTATCTTTAAGATAAAATGTTTAAAAAAATAAGGAATCAAAAACTGCATTTCTAAAATTCTTTTTACAAAATTGAATATAATCTATAAAAATATATGCTAAGATGATGAATGAAAGAGTTTTTGAAGGATTTGATTGTTAGATATTGTTTTTAATGCTTTTGGGAAGTATTTATAGGTCTCAAAAGGTGCTGTAGTTCTTCAAAGATTATAATTTTTAAAATAAAAAATCTATTTAACTATTTGGATTTTTTATATTTGTTTGCATTTAATTCGATTCATTTAAAATTTAATCAATTAACTCGTATTTTTAAAATTAATTTTTGACTTAATCAAGTAACTGATCCATTAACTTACTCTAGAGACAAACTCTAAAATTAAGACCAGAGTTTAAATGATTAATAAGATATATTAATTGATTAACTTGTGTTCCATATTGCTTTAGTCCACTAATATAGAGACTAAATCCATTAATATCACACCTTTGTGCATTTTTCTTTGTTTTTGCTCTTTCTTTTCTTACAACTAAGACATATAAAAATTATTTTATTATTAATATATGTATATATAAACCTAATATATAACAATTACACCAAACAATAATTAGTATACAAAGAATCACTGGTCATTATATTTTTGTATGTTAATCCACTTAGCTGTAAGTTTCCCTGGATTGGGATTTCGGTGGGGAAGATAAACAAACTCATGTCTCGCGATTTTTACGCGAGACATTATGTCCGTGTAAGCTTTGTAAGAGATTCAATCGTTGTGTCGGTCCTGAATTGTTTCGGTTCCATCCATTTCATTCTTGTTGCAAACTCGAGCTTGCAGGTTTTCCACTATGAATCTTTGAAAGTTGTGAGCAGCTATTCTCTCTTTGTCCAGAGGCACGGAACCAGTAAGCACTGATTTCCTTTTCTCTCGTACTTTGAAAGAGCATGGAAGCTTATTTCTTTGGCATTTTTAATTTCTTGGTGGTTTTTATTCTTTTTCTACATCAATTTTATTCATCGCTTGCTTGCTTCAATTTTCTTGCTTCTTCCAGTCATGCGTTTATCAGTAGCTTGAATTTTTCTTTTTCCAGTATATTTTCTTGAGGTTCTCTTTTTCCCAAATTTGTTTTTGTATACTATTTTTGGGTAAAGTTGGCTTTCCAATATAAGAATCTTTCCATTTTGGTTATGCTAATTAATTGCTGTGATCAGGAACTAGAACACTATGGACTGATTACTTTTACTCATCAAATCAGGTCATGCACGTTTTTATTGGAAAGCTTTCCTTTTCCACTTTTTTTGCTTTGTGCAGTAAGTATATAGCAGTATACATTATGATTATGATGTTCTTTCTTTTTCTAATTATTAGAATCCTTCCGTTTTGGTTATGCTAATTAATTACTGTGTTCATGAGACCATACGGTAACAGGAACACGATGAACTGATTACTTTTACTGATCAAATCAAGTAATGAACTTTTTATTGGAAAGCTTTCCTTTTCCACTTTTTTTGCATTGTACAGTAAGTATATAGTAGTATACATTATGATTATGACGATCTTTCTTTCTTTCTTTCTTTCTAGGGGATCTCATTTTACATGTCTGTGAATATGGAGGATTTCGGTGCTAATGAGCAGGCAATGGCTTCAGGTAACAATCCTGCACAAAAGAGAGGTCGCCAACCGAAGCTAACCGATGCTGAAAGGCATGAAAATAAATTAGAAAGCGGTAGAAAATATCGACGAAATAAAACTGTAAATAAATTTCTCTTATTCTTGTATCTTTTGGTATCTATTATCTTTCCCCTAGTTTTTATTTTCCATCTTAAGAAATTTGTCCTTTTTGTATCTGGAAATGAAGGCCAAGAACCAAGCATTACAAGAGAAGAACCAAGAATTGGAGAAAGAGAACAAAAGATTAGAGGAAGAGAATGAAAAATTGAAAGAGGAGAAGGAGATGAAAGAGTCTGAGATAAACTCTTTGAAGGAGGAGCTTTTAGAGGCAAGAGACCAATCCTCTCTCCCTGTCTCATCTCTCTGTTTTCTGTCTCCCCTTTCCAACTTTTGCTTTTGTTGTGCAAATTATAGAACATCGCTCAAGCAGAGAACTTAGGGAGGGAAGTGAGTGATCAATCGGAAAAAGTGAATATGGTGAAAATGGTAAACAAAGCACTGGAACCGGGGATGCAGCAGCTGCAACAAAATTTTCTCAATCAGCAGGTATGCAAACACAATATAGGAGTTTTGATTAACTAGCAACTGTTGGCTTTTCCTTGGGATGAATATATATGTTAGTGTACTCATGTCTACTAAAGCTTTTTTACTTTATCAATTTAGCTAATAAAGGAAAACATATACCATACAATGAATATCATTCTTGATGAAGATACCCTTCAAATAATTAAGTTCATACACACACATATAGAAATGATGTTATGAACTATATAAACTCTTCTTGATTCTCTTAAACTAATAAAGTTAAATTTTCTCATTTATTTCACAGGCATCAAAGATATACTGAAGTAATCACGCCCCTTAATTTTTTTGGCAAACTAAACATTAAGTGTCAAAAATTTCATTTTCGATGCCTTAAATACATTGGCTCTGTGATGGAACCAAAGTGGAGCGTACCTATCACATATAATTATCATACAAACCCAAACTCACAATTTTTTTTCTTCTATAAGGAGATAGCTATTACCAAATCACAAGGTTATTAGTGTCTGTTAAAAGCTTCATATCATTTATTGACACTTTGCCTTGATTTGTCATCTCCTTTAACGGGAATTTACTTCCCCAAGTGGTGGTTTTTTCAATGATGGACTGCAAATTTCTATTGTGTCCAAGTGAATACCCTTGCTTTAACTATTTCTTTAACGCTGCTTGCCACTGGTTCTGATTGCTGACTGCCAACAATATTTTTGCCTAATTGCCTTTTCCTTCTCTTTGTTATTGACCTTGTTTTGGCTTATATATAACATCATACACTTCTGTTCTATTGTTTAATAAATGCTCCTTTACCTTTCAAGAAAAGAATATACTCCTCTGATTAATTTCTTTTTTTAGTGTACGAGATCTTGCTAATATGGGTAATACTATACTTACTGTAAAATTGTCAACATCTGATCTGGACCATTAACAAATTAGTGCTACCATATAGATCATACCTCCTTCTCTTCTTACTAGTTCACACCCAACCATTACTTCCCCTGACTCCTTACTACCATACTCAGCCATCTATTGCCACTTCTCCTGATCTTCTAGTACTAGATCTGCCAGCCTTTTGTTGTTAAACTTTCCTAGTTTTTCACTCTATCACCTGAAATTCAACCTTCCAAATTTATGTTGTGCCTTGTTCATCTCCTATATTTATGCCCAGTTCTCCCTATTACTTCATCTTCTTTTCATATGTTGGGAAAAAACCATGCAATCATATTACACTGAGCAGTGGAAATTTAAACTTTTCCTCTGTTGGAGAAAAGTCATAATCCATTTGTGCTGTTTCTACTGGACAAAGGGTAGTATGTTACATGTAAGCCAACAAATCAGTTAAGTTGGAAAAGCATAACATCCTATATTCCAACACATTGTATGCTTTATTTTTAAAGAGCATAGGATTGCTAACCTACTTTCAACATACTGTTTCATTACTAATGCTCTGTTCAACTCACTATTACTCTGAAGCTAGCCCAAAAATGCACTTGACTCTTTCAATACCGCGTACTGTTGCCACTTAAAAGATTGACATCTCGAAGGAACAACTCATAACTCAAGATCTATGTTTCTATCCTAAAGTATCCAACATCACAATGTTAAATATTTATATGCCAGACAGTCTCTGATAAAACTGACGGTCACCTCCATGATCATCATCATATATAGTTGCTAGAACAATAGCATGTAATTGTTCTACCCTTCAGAATTTAAAATTGATGGTATGTGCTACTGCAATTGATGTTTCTCCTAATTTGCAGGATGATTTTGTGAACTTGGAATTAACTAATATACCAATGGATACTGAGTGGGTATGTTAATTCTATTTCATTACTTAGTGCACTGATTTTAGTATTATTGGATGCTGAATGTGATTCTTTCCCAAATAATTGTTTTAGTTGAACAATTCGGAGAACTGGAAAGACTTCAATGAGAATCCAGAGAGGCTGTTCGATGAGACCATAGGTATGTGCTACCCAATGAATTTGTGCTTGGCTGAATCTAGTTTATGCTTTACTATTTCTTGTGTTTGTATGCTTGTGTGCTTATATATTGTTGCCATATATGAAAAATGTTTACTAGTACTGAAATTAAATTTATAATAATTATTGATTGATTTGTTAATTTTAAGTAACTGATTAGGGTTTTTTTGTAGAGTTTAAAATCTTCTTTATGGAGCTGACTGTGAGATTCCATATCTAAAGATTCCAATTAAAACATATCCTATCAGAATTTTATTTTTATCTTCCAAAAGAGGCTCCTACACACAAGATCACTTGTCTAAAATTCTCTTAATTTCTTTGTTCTGTATACGCCTCTCTAGAGCATGCCTTGAACCCTCATTCTCCATTATCTCCACCTTTCCCCAATTCAACTTTGAAATTCCAAACTTCCAACTCTAAACTTACGAAAAAATTGAAGAATTGACTATTTGTTTAGAGAGAAGATTGCCAGGTAAATTATATGTGTTTGAGAAATAATTAGTGTGAAAATGATGAGAAGACATTTCAAGTTGAGAATGGCTCTTGGAAGATTTATGAGGAGAGAAATTTCTTGCTTGATTCAGTTTTCCTGGATTATATTATGGTTATGGGATCCTATGGATGAGAACAATGCTGACCTTTTATTTTTGGGTGTCATTTGAGAGTTCTTTGGAGAATAGTGAATTGATATGAAGGGATAAAAAGAGTAAGTTTCCCTACTCCAAAAAATCCTAGCAAATAAGTTTGATGCAAATGCTAGAAATAGTTTTTAATTAGTTTACATTTGGAATTTTGGTGAAATAGAATGGGAAAGGTGGTGGCAAGAAAGTGGAAATAAGAAAAGATTATGTCTCCAAGGGGACATCCCAATTTTTAGAATTAGAGATTCCATCTCGAAGGTCTCAAATTTGAATCTCGGGATGCATGATGAGATTTATGTGATGAGAGAGTGTTATTTCCTATTGTGCATAGTTCAAACTTCAAAATCTTTGGAGTTTTTAAAATCCACAAATAAGATTAAAAAAGTTCATTCATTTGTTATTATTTTTAAATATAGTCTAATGAGACATATGGCAACTCTCTAGTGGAGTCATTCCAGTGATAGTGTATAGGATAAATTTCCCAAAAGAATATTTTTAGATAGAAGGTTATGGAGTATACTGTAACTTATTATAAAAGGAAACAAATCTAATGTGACACATTTTAGTTGGAGGGTATTAATATAGATTTTATAAGCAGTGATAATATCTAAACTCTTTCCGTAAGTAAGTGTTAGTGTACTATTCTCTTCAATAATTAGGAATAATGGGTATATAAGATGTTTGAGATTATGGGAAAATGATTATGCCTCTTATATTCATTTTATTAGATTTGTTAATAAAAATAAGTTGTGTTTTGTTCTTGAAAGACTTGTTTCGATAAATACCATCAATATGCTCATCTTGACCATTTACTTAATATCTACAATTTCAAGGATAAATCCTGTGTATTCAAGTGGTAGTTATGTGTGTAGCAGATAATATTGGTCAGAAGGGTAAAAGAGAGGATCTGAACACTATCATTAGATATTTGAGATCACTAATCATAATAAGATGTTTTGTCTATTGTTTTCAAGCTTATATAACTGTCACATTGCTATTATTTTTAATAGTATATTGAAAATAATTATGAGTGATATGAATTGTTTTTTTGCAGGACAATTATTTTTTATATTTTTCTTTTTAAAAATACCATACTATTTTTCTGTCATTTGTTAACCTAACATGGTGGTTGTTTTGAATCATGGAAGATTCTTTGCTCAATGAGGGGACTAGCATTGCCAAAACCAAGCTATCACCATTACGTGAGACCATCAGTGTTGAGGGCTTTAGGGTACTAAGGGAAAATTCTACCTGGATCCAGGAAATATTCAACAAGTACCCTAACATCGCATCAGGCCTTCGAGTTCGCCTCCAAGCATCAAGAGATGGATTCATGAATATATTAGCTGAGGTCTACAAAATGGCAACCATGGAACGCGAGAAGTGCAACCTGGAGGATATCAAGCATATGGAGGATGGTGTTGAGGATTTGGAGTTCGCTGGTCTAGATGTTTCATGGCTTAAGGACTTGGTGCAGCAGAGGGTCGGAAAGAGGTTGAAGAGAAGGAAGATATGAAAAGCATGGAAGCCAAGATAGATATTCCAAAGGAAAAGCAAAGCAAACCAAACCTGCAAAAGAGCACTAGTCTGAAAGACAAAGGGTTATGTAAATTATAAATTACACTCTTAAAACTTGTTCTGAATGCTTTGTTACTCTTGTATTACAACCGATAGACTGATTATTATTTTACTTTTTTTTTTGTTATTATTTTTGATAGGAGTAAGATGAACTGATTATCAATAAATATGTATGCATGTAATGTGAAGTGTGAACATTACCTGATTTATCCTCTTTTATATATAAAAAAAATCAGGGTATTTGTAGTTGAAGTTTGTAAGAAGGTTATTTGTTTGGCTATGGAGTGTGTCCATCACCTTGATCTGCAACTCTTTTTCTCTTCTCTTTCGTTTTTATATGTTACAAATTAAGGTATTTATTTTTGTATGGGTTGTATCAACCCAACCCAAGCTGTGTTAAGAGCCGACTAACCCCATATTAGTAGAAGGCTTGCGCAATGACAACTTTGTGACTGTAAGAAAGAAGCAATTTTCCAACTATAATTTGGAAATGGCTTTGTTAAAACTCCCTTTTAACAGCTAAAACAGCACCTTCCTTCAATGCCAATGCCTCAGCAGCTAGACTTTGTAGTTGAAACTCAAAGTCAACATAATTTGAACAACATTCTTATCTCTTCTCTCCATATAATATATGTATATATATATATATATATATGTTCATTTTGAGACACAATTTTCAAAGTGATCAACACAGGGATACGTGTACTATCCATATTAACTCTTCAAACTGAAACTTGTAAATTGCACATAGTCATATGATTATTAATTATAAGATGATTTCAAAGCAACATTATAAATAAACTATTTCCATGCATGATTAATATATCTATGCAAAATATTGAATCTTACCATTTCAAAACGATTTAATTCCCATGAATTCATTGATCTAATTTAAATTTAAACAATTTACTGATGTAACGTTTACATTCTACTGTTGGTATAATTTTGCTTTGAATTTTTTTTCTTCTTTTTTTTTAATATGAAATTACGAATGCAAACAAAATCACAATTGCAATAAATTATTATATTTATATAAAAATTCAGAGAAATCAATCAATGAAATAATTTAATCAATAAATTCACATATAACAAGAAAAATTCAACATAAAATTATAAGAGTTTAACATAAATCTCCTGTCAATAGTAAAAAGTATATTAAGCTTTTCAACTAGTGACAATAAATTTTAGATTAAGTATTTATATCAAAATCTAGATGTAACTTAATCAATATTTGTTAAACAGTTGATATTTTCATAAAATTACATTTTCAATTCAAAAAATATATTTAATGAATGAAAAAAGTTGTTTATTACCTCAACATCCACCTTATCTCTTACTCATATAAAATCTATAACATTATACAATTGTAGTTGAACAACCGCACCTTAACAATGTACATACAAAGATAAAGGCCATAAAGGGCGCAAATGATGAAGGAAGCAGTCCATCGTTTACCGATGGATATGTGAACAAGTGAATAGCCTGGACGCGCTTCTTTGACCTTTATTCCGTAAGGGTATCACGTTTGAAAAGTGTGCAAGCAACATAGTTTATTTCTTCACTTGGCAAAAACAATTGCCCGATGTCTTTTCCTTCCCCATTTCGCCACGTAATAAATTTTTATATTAAAAATGTAAATTTAATAAACCTTTATACATAAGAGTAATTTTATAAATTTAAACTATATTCTTAATAAAATATTTTTAAATTAAATACTACAATACATTTTTCTCTACAATTACATTTCATATAATCATCACTTTCTCATATTTTATCTACAATTACATTCATTATAATCATTTCTTTCTCACATTATATCTAATACTACAAAGTTATGTTCTCAACAATCATATATTTAATAATCACATTTTCAATAATATATCAAATGTCACCTAAAAGAAAGTCAAATATATAAAATAATTTATTTTTGTATTTGAATACGATATTTTAGCATTAAAGATTCATCTTAATGCTTTGGAACACAATTATTTATAAAGATATGTGTATGTATTTACATATATATTATATTATTAAATGAGATTTATTAGTTATTAATATTTTACTAATTTTATTTAATCATATTTAAAAATAAATTCTCTTCACTTCTAAATTGCCATTTAATGACATTGACATGTCAAACTTAATAATTAATGCAAAGATTAGGTACGTAACTTTTATGACGTGGCATTATTATGTGAATTATGAATTAATATAATCCATTCAACACCGAATCCTTTCACGCGTGAGGGCCTTGGAAAGTATTGGCAGATACAGTAATTTAGGGAAACAACAAAGGAAACTGCCAATTGTCCTAAGATAATAATTGACAGAGCCAAAACCAAAGTCTTAGAGAAATACAAAAATAGGAAAGTGCAGTCCCAGAGAGGGACACGTGTACAGCGACGTTTGGTTTCATACACGTCGATTTATATATACGTCATGGACCAAATTAAAAAATCAGCAACGAAGGACGAAAACTTTGAAAACATTAATTATTTCTAGTCTTTGCCGTAGGAAATAGGTGTACCCCACGCCCAGCCTCCACCTCACCCAGCCTCCACGCGGTGCAGGCCGCCGACCGTCAGAAACCTCGGCTTCTAAGAAACCTCCAATACCCTTTGCTCTCCTCTATATATATCCATCGCAATCTATCAGCCTCTTCATATATATCTTATCCATTTATTACCCAATCTTTTCTGCTCCCTTTCTTTCCTCCTATATATTTCATCTCAATTCTTTAAATCTTATTACTTTTTTCCTCCTTCTTGTTGCAAATTAAATTCAAAGATGAGTCACAGCCAGCAGAATCAGCCTTCAGGTCAGTCTTGTTGACATATTCGATTCTATTTTTATCTACAAGTATGGTGATAGCCTCCCCTATGTTGGTGGATTCAAATTTTTAATGGCAAAAACTAACTAGTTTGGTTTTCTTGTTGAATGATATTGGTTCAGTTGCCTACCCACCAGCATCTACTGCCCCAGGACCCTATGTGGCTCCACCACCAGCCGGTTACCCTATGAGCAAAGACGGTCAAGAGCAATATTCTCAAAATCCTGCTGCCCCCGAAACCAAGTCCAGAGGTGATGGATTCTGGAAGGGATGGTAAGTCTTATATCCATTTTGCTTTTGTCTCTTTCATTTACTAAGATGATATTTGAAATTGTGAATCATTAATGAGTGATACTGAAAATTATTTTGTTCTTGTTTGCCTTCTGCAGTTGTGCTGCCCTATGCTGCTGTTGTGTTTTGGATGCATGCTTCTGAAGATTTACACAGCTTTAGAAGCTTAATTATGTTCATTCATTGGAGTTTCCTTTTGTTTATAGGATTATTAGTTTGATTTGTTTGATTCTCATACACTGAGAAATTATATGTTTTTTCCTTAATGAACATGAAGATCAGACTGCTAGGTTTCTCTCCTCGTGCTTTTATATTTGAATAAATCATTATTGTATTTTTTCCCTATTGTGGTTGAATACATCATTATTGTATTTTTTTTTATGGAGGTTGTATTGTCACAATCAATTTAGTTTTGTCTATGGAGATTCGAATCTTATTTATTTTTAAAAAAATTACATATCAATTAATAAATTAAATATTTAAAAATATATATTATTCATATTATATTTATAATTTTTGAATAATTCCCATATTAATATCTATTTCCAGAAATCTCTGCAATAATTGAAGGCTTGGATCTAGCAAGCAAGCACTATGTATGTATGAAACTAAGAATGTGGGCGCAAAATGCATAAAACAATTGGGAGTTCCATCTTGGCTTTGCATATTACCAAAAGATGATGTCTATGCTCCTTTATTTATTTATCTAACAATCTTTTACAGGTATATATATTTCCTTTTTTTTTAATTTTAAAAGCAAGTAGCTGTCTAATGCAAAGAATTTATCTAAGATGAGTAAATTTCATTTTTATCGAATTATTAGTTTTAATTATATGTGCTATCAAAAAAAATTTAGCCATGTTATTGTGAGATCAATTTTAAATTTAAAGCATTTAAAAATGAAATTTTATAAGATTTGAGTTATTATTTTTTTGTAAAATATTGTAAGTTTATTAAATTTTTGTGATAATTGTTGAAAAATTCACTATATGGAGTTGGTGTTTTGGCAATAATGATTTTGGGTTGTAGTCATGGTGGTGGGTGGAGATGGAAAGAACTAGAGACACCAAATTGGAAGAGAGAGAGGAAAATTGGGAACAAAAAGAAAGGAATTATTATGCTTTTCGACATGAGTAAGAAGAGAATAAGAAGAACTAAAAAAAAA